AGTTCATGGAAGGGATAACTATAATAGGATAGGGGATTGGGATTTCTTGGAGCAGTAGTCACCATGGGTGAGATGAGGATTCAGGTATTTGGTTATCCAGCCAGCCAGAATGAGGCTGAAACAAAATTTGATCTCTGTGTAGTAGTATTCCATGCTTTAGGGCTTCTCCTGGTTGCCTTTGGCTTTTGGAAGGGATTTTGGTGGGATTTTTGGCCTTCTTTTGGAAATGCTGGATATTGACTATGGCTAGAGATGGAAGTTTGGCAGAGGGCTGCTGATGCTCATATAGCTGCCTAGAAACCTCTTAGTTATCTGCCTGGGTCATGCATTCGTGGTCAGACTGATTAATTACTAACTGTCATATCAAGAAATGGCTTTTACTGCAGGTCAGATTAGCAGGAACTGTGAATTTTTTGCCTTCTGCTGCAGTAAAAGCCGTCTTTGAGCATGCATTACCATATTTACCTGAATCCAAGACAGCCCTGAATTTAAGACACCCATTCAATAATTAGGTTCTATACATAGAAAATGTATAAATTGGATATGCTTTTTCATGTATAGAACCTAATTATTGGAGGGTTTCATAAAATAGTCACCCCTGCTGCTGCAGTGGGGAAAGCAGCGTTGGGAAGGCAGGCAGTGGGAAGACCAGTGGCAGAGGAGTCAAGTAGGCTGACTCTTGCTCCTTGCTGCCCGTTTCCTCATCACTTGGCCCCCCTTCCCCATTCTCTCCCCTCCCCTGGTGGTTGGCTTGTGCTCAGCACCTGCCCCCTACCTTCCCCCTCCCCAACACTTGACCTCTGCTTATCTCTTATCCTCTGGCTAGAGCATGTGGTTGCTCTGGCCCTGGCCATGCAGCAGTATTATTGAGTGACTGCTATGCCCCTGGAGCTGTGCAGGAGCTGCTGCTGTTGCCATCGCTGCTGCTGCTGCACTGGGCCAGGGCTGGAGCAACCATGTGCCCAGGTTGAGGCCAGAGTCAAAGCCTTAGCAGCTACCTGCTTACCTTGTACTGGAATCCAAAAATGAGGATATTTCCCCATCATGTTAAATGGAGAGAAAAAAACCTTCTTGTCTTAGATTTGAGTAAGTGCAGTAACATGCAAATTAGCTGTCATTTTAGTGGCAAGACATGTTGTGGGATTCATTTTCCCCACAGTATGCTTTGTGGCTTGGTATGTGAGCGAGAATGATCAGAGTGGATGATCTTGTGGACCCTAGACAAATTGTCAGCTACAGGAGGTGAGACTGGCTTCAGAGACCTTTTCAAGTCCTGTGTTCCTACGGAGTGTTTCAGCTGACAGTCTGCAGAATGCAAGCATTTTGTAAAGCATGGAAAAGTTACTGGGCAAGGTGCTGGTCAAAATCTTTCCCCTTTGGAAAGGGTTTTATCATTTATTTTTAGTTATAATGTAACTCAAGCAGTTTGTTTTAGGAACTCCTGTTTAGTTTAATGCTTTGTCCTCCACCAAGAATAATGCTTTCTACTACTTTGTTGAAAGTCGATGGATTAAATTGAAAATAATTTCTTTTCCAAGTTGTTTACAATGTGCAATTTCTCCTTGTTGAATTTCAGAAGCTCACAGCAAAACCAGAGGAGTATATGGTGTTTAAAGGGACATGATCAGCTTCAAACAACTTTTCTGTGTAAAAATTATTTACTACCATTGTTACAAAAGGCCCCTGAGGGTGTGTAGGGCAGATGCAACATAATTCTCTCTATCCTTTCCATGTGTTTACTTTGTACATTTGACATTTCTTTGTGTGACATCAATTTCTGTTTGTGAGGGCTTTCACAGCAACAGAGGAATAATGTACATTATTGCTACTTTAAACAAATTTTGGTGAGATAATATATGAAACCACTTTAAAAGCATCATTAAAAATGTGTAGATTTCAAGCCAGCCACATCCCTTTAAAACAGGGGTGGGCAATTATTTCAGGCGAAGGGCCACTTACTGAGTTTTGGGAAGCCATTGAGGGCCGCATGACAGGCAGCCAGGGGCAGATAAATATTAATTTTCTAAATTTTTTAGGGTCTCTATGGGCTGGGTGGAATAGCCTGGAGGGCTGCATCTGGTCCGCGAGCCGCATTTTGCCCACCCCTGCTTTTAGATATGCTCTGCTGAGAGCTCCAGGAAGTTCAAGTGTATTATAGCTCTTTTGGTGCTATTATAACCCCAATGGAAAAATTATAAACCCTGCAGGAGACATGATGTCTTCCTCTCCCCTGCTTTAAATGTTAGCAACCCTTTCTAATCATTGCGGCTTATTAAAGTTATTTCACATGCATGCGTGGGGAAAATCCAGCCCTTGCCCTCTCCAAGTTAGAGGAACTGCCAGTCCCATGCTGTGTTAAAAAGAATTTGGTATTGTAAAAACAATGACTTCAAAATTGTATCTCATCCAGTCAGTGAAGATGTTGACAAGTCTGGAGATTCAGGGCCTGACTGAGTTCTGATTTAGGACACCCTAGTCCCAAATGATAGAGGAGAAAACAGTGGTTGTACTGACCTAACAATAGCTATAGACCACAGTGTCCTGTTTGTTAAAAATGAATACTGTATTTTAGTATTATTTCTACTGTGGTAGTATCTGATCAAGTCTAACTATATTAAACACTGTACAAACCACAAATGCTCAATATTTAAGTGTAAAAAGCCAAATGGTAGACTTCATCGTGTGGTCTCAGCTTGCCTAAGACTTCAAGCTTGAAATAGTCTCTCTTGTTTTAAGACTGTTACCCTCGCAGCAAGGGACTGCCATTGCTGATGAAAGTGCGCAGCAGCTTAGTAATTGCCTAGCTGGGAAAATACCTAGTATGAAGAACTTCTTAACTCTCCTGGGGCACATCTATATGAGACGTTTACTGCACAGTTGACTAATTAATTGCACAGTAAATGTCTCAGCATCTTCACATGCACCACTATTAGGGCATGTGAAACTAATTAGGGCACGTACACCACTACTAGGGCACAGCAGGCTAGGACTTGTAAACACAAAGCCTACCCTGCTGCAGAGTTTGGTTTTTTTTGTCGTGCTCAGCAGCACACATTTAGATGCTAAACCAGTTGGCTGGGGCATGAGGGTGCTTCAATGTGAGGTCTGCCTGCTGGCTAGCCCCACACTGAAGCACCCTTGTGCCCCAGCCAGCTCCTCCATAGTGCATTGAGCCAGGTCAGAGCAGCCCCGGGCTGGCAGGCTGACTCCCCAGGCTTCCTGCCAACTGGGGCTGCCACAACCTAGCTCGGTGTGCTGTGGTCCAGGCACATGTGTAAACTGTGTGTCCGGGAGCAGTAAACTGGAGCAATAAGCTCTGCAGTTCATTGCTGCATGTTAATGGTTCATTTAGACGTGCCCTGGAAGATACTTTTGCTTCTGTTGTAAGGGTATAGGTTGCAGGGTTGTGTGAAGCTTGGGTCGCTGATTCTATTTGGGGGAGATTTGGCCTGATTCGGCACCCGAATCTCCAAATCTGAATCGAATCAGGAGATCCATTAATCTTTCTGAATTGAATCAGAAGCCTCCAATTTGATTAGGAGAGATTTGATGATTCGGCTGTAGACACAGCTTTATATGCTTTTTCTACGTACCTTGAGGTACCAGGTGCAGCCCACGAACGCTGAGATGGTGGGGCGGATGGAGTGTCCCACAGGAGTGCAGGGGAGTCCCCTTCATGCTCAGCGGCAGACCCCCCCTGCGCTCCCATGGGACACTCCATCCACCGCACCATCTCAGCGTTCATGAGCCATGCCTGGTACCTCGAGGTACGCAGAAAAAACATAAAGCTGTGCCTGTGGCCGAATTGCCGATTCTCCAAATCAGAATCGAATCTTCAGATTCGGCTGAATCAAATCGGGACAGTGATCCAAATCCAAGAATTGAATCGCTATCCCCTGAATCAGGCAGAATCCGAATCAAATACTGCCTGCTTCGCATACCCCTAATAGTTTGTATTTGTATTGATCTAAGGACATAGGCGAAAAAGGTTAAACTAATCTTTATTAGACCATTAGATCAAATATTTGAGTGGGTCTAATAAAAGATATCAGGTTTACCCAAAGAACCCTGTCTCCCTTTGCTCCTGGTGGGCTTTATGGGTTCAACAGGGAAAGTCTTTCACAGACCTTCATCTTTTTATCTTTTTGCTCCCTTTTTTTTGTTGCTACGGGTTAGGCCATACATCCAGCTTACTTTGGACAGTGCCCCATTTACAATAACATTGCTTTTAAGGTGCAGAAAACATTATATTTATCCCTTGTGTTGACTGCTGTCTAGTTTCCCTCTCCCTTGGATAGTCATCTATATGTAGAGATCTCTGTAAATTGTGAAGGAAGTGCCCCCTGCAGCAGCTCCTTTAATTTTGTTTTGTTTTGCTTCCCACCCCCCCCATTAGCAGAGAGGCCTGCTGGCCACGCTGTTTGCTGCTGATCACCAGGATAGCAAAAACCACGGTTTTAAATACAGTATGCCACATTTTTTGCCTCCCCACTAGTTAGCAGCAAGTGACGGGGCCAGTGATGGGGGGATGAGTGGTGGCTGCGTTAATTTCTTGGTTGCTGGTGCCAACACGATGACTCTGGGAGCCATGGCAAGAAACCCTGTGTGTGGGATCCAGAGGTAGGTTAACAAGTATACAGGAAAGCCCATAATCCAAATCTGGTTTGCCAGTTCATTTGAGTTTAACATAATTGAGTTCTTCATTTGAACTAAGGTAGGTAACACTTGAATTTCAGCCTTGAACTTGATAATCTTATTTCTCAGGTGGGTAAAATTGGAAATACTGCAGAGTCTGCACACTTTGCTCCCACAGGAGGGAGAAGCCTTTTGTTGCACAACAAACAACCCCTCTGTGGTAATGGATAAACGGATCTTGTTGGACTCTTTGAGAACCTGGCTGGCTTTATTCTTCAGGTGAATTTATATTTGTGGGATAGTCTTAAAATAAGTTTTAAAATAATCTGGAATGGTCTTTTGTATGCATAATGTCATTAAAATAAGACAATTTACATGGACCATGTTATTTTCAGGTTTGCTGTAAACTACCTTCGGTAGCTATAATGACACCAGCCCTCAGAGAGGCAGCAACAAAAAGTCATGGTATCCACTTGTCACCTTCTTTGTCCTCTAGAGCTATGGAGTCTGATACAGCTTTGTGCATGGAAAATCCCAGAGCAGTGGAAGAGAAGCTAAAAGAGGATTCAGTCACACAGATTACGTGCTCAGTCTTAGGGTTTCCCACCACTGAACCCAACTACAATAATGACATCTTCAGTGTAAAGCATTTTGGTTCTCCACAGTCTTCCAAACATTATCAGTCTGTCTTGCTAATGAGCGCAAATTCTGCATTAAACAGCATAAATGGTAAGCAGTGGAAATTGGGAGAACACACTTGCTCCAAGGTGAAAAATCCATTACATAACAGTGTTGCCACAACGTGCAGCCAGATTAGTAATTCAGAAGCAGAAGAACAGGTGAAAGGGGAAACTTTTTCAGAGACCGTGACCCAGAGTTTTGAAAAAATACAGAGACTGTTGGATTCGAATGTAACTGAATCTGGTAACACAGAAGAAATGCAGTTTCCAAACGGGAAATGGTTCTGGAAGAATGGTTTTTTGGGTAAAGCTTTAGCAATACACACAGAGACAGAAAAAGGGCCTGAAGTGCACCAAGTTCTGCATAATCCTTTGGAAGCAGTTTTGGGCTGCTCTGCCACTGGTAAAGAAGAGGAGTTGAATGCTCGTTTCCATCAGTGTGTGAGTAAGCAGCAAGTTCTGTTCAGCCGGACCAAAAGAACTCAGAAACGGTTACAAATGCTCCTGGCAAAACATGTTGTCAAACACTGTGACCAGCAGCTGAAATGCTTGGTGCAACTTCAGCTACAAAAAGTAAAGTTTTTTAATGACTCAGCCAAATTAATGGATGGTATTTCCCTTGGATGCACTGAAAATAAGACACAAAACAGTACAGCTAACTTGGAGAATAATTCAAGTAACAACACACACAATGGATTTTGCGTTGGACCTGGTGAAGTCCGGGGGGTTGCACGCTCTACGTCAGGGCTGCTGTCTCGTGTGGAGAAAGATCTGGATTCTGATGCAACTTGCAGCAGCAGCTCAGATGAAGATTGTGATGAACAGACTGTCAAGAAGACGATGGAAGCGTAAGTGTTATATTATTGCTAGACTTTTGTATTTAACAGGTGTTTCAAATCTGGGAATTGAAAAGTCCAAACCTGCAAATCCTTTCTCATATGAATAGCCTTCCTGAAATCAATGGAACTGCTCATGTGAGCAAGGCTTGACAGGGCTTGGCCCTAAGTTGGAACTTATGTAAGTTGAACACTGAAGGAAATTGATTGTATTAGAATACAGTTTACAGTAGGGTTGTCAACCATGTGGAACTACCCTGTCAGTCTTGTGGGACTGCTGGAAAGTCACTGTAAGTTTTGGGGGCATGGGCTGCTGCAGAATCTGGGACCCTCAGGCCTCAGTGTATGTGTTGATTAGCAACAGGAGGATGAGTGAGGGCCAATCCAACCACAGTTATCCTTCAACCACTTTGTCATTATTGCTGTGGCCGTATCACAGCCACCAGCCCTTATCACATACCTTGTGTTGGAGGTGGAGCTGGAGCTAGAGCTGCTGTCATGGTACAGGGTACGCAGTGGTGGTAGCTCCAGCTCTGGCATAGGGCACATGGCAGGGTTGCAGTTTGCCCTGGGTGAGAGCCTGAGTTGCCATTGCTGCTGCTGCTTCCTCATGCCAAGGGTTGGATCTGGTCAGCAAGGAGCCCTGTGGTCCAGATCTGGCCCAGGGCACCCCTGGTTTACAGAGATTCAAATTTTGCACTCCTGTTCCACCTATTTAATATTGTTAGGCAGAGTATTTACAACAGTGCTGTCGAAACTTTTGGCCCCACAGGATGCGTGTGTCATGTGAGCTGGGTCCCACACAGGTCTGGTGTGTGGGGGCAGGCCCCATGCGCCCAGATGTGGCCACATGCTAGGATACAGTCACATGCTGGCCTGGCTTCATGTGTTGGCACAATCTAGCGCGCATTATCTTGCTTACAGGGCTCTCCATGCATTCAGAAATTTGGGGAGCGGCCAGTTAATACTGCCACCGTTCCCCCGCCGCCAAATTTTCAGACCCATGGGCAGCCAGAGGTTGAGCACCCCTGATCTGCAGGATTGGTACAGTTCTTAAATACCAGTATATATTTAGAGTAACTTAAGTGACAGTTGTGTAAACAAAATAATTTTGACAAATATAAAACAAAGACATTATTAACTTATTTGACTTAATAACAGTTAATTGCTGTCAAAGGCTTGCAATTCACTTTTGTGTGGCAAGAAGAAAACTGTTCTTCTGGTGGGGATTGAAGCCATTTAATTTCTGGAGAGTTCAAAGTTGACAAGTTTCTTAGTATTACAAAGATTACATCAGTCCCCTTTTAGGGTAGTATATTTTCTTCCTAAGTCTCTGTATGGACATCAAGATTTCTTCCATTGTTACAGATACCTCTTTCCAAGAGGTGGCAGAGTTTACAGCACCTCTCAGTTTCACAATCAGAACTCTCTGGGCTGTTGTAAATTGACAAGAAGTGTGTTGATTTCGTGCTGCGGTGGCTTTGAACGTCTGAGCTACAACAGAGAGAAGCATTGAATTTTATATGCAGGGATGAGAAAATGGAGGCAAGATATTTAGATAACACCATCAGTCTGTCACTTTGCAGCATGCAGGGTGCCGGGGATGAAGTAGAGAATATTGGAAACCTCTGCCAGTCAGGCAAGCTCTGGAGAGAGGGAGACAGAAAGCTCCCTTTTCTTATTTTGTGGTTAAATGGAGCTGAGCAGGTGTTCAGATTTATTAGGTACTTGCTAGCTAGTCAGAGACTGATGCAAAAGGGGAGAGTCTCAAAGCTTCCAAGAAAAATCCAGGGACTGCAGGTTGGTCAGAATCCAGAGACACACAAAGTTTGGACCGGTTTTCTCAAACAGGGCTGTCCTTGGACATTTTTGATGGGGTTCCTGATCTTCTATAAGAACCTCTGATTAGTCGATTTGTCCTCTAATGAGGAAATATATGGTATTTTTTTCAATTTCTATTGTTGGTGTTAATAAATGTATTTTAAAATTTTCTGTCTCTTGCTCTGATCTTTGAAAAATCACAACATTGAGTAGAAATTTGCATTTGCACTGGATTTTAGCAGCTCCTGAAAAAGCGTGGATCCACCTTATTACTCATTTATTAGCTTGAATTGTGAAAATTTTAAAAAAGTGTAGTAGTTCCAGTCTGTTATGGCATCATGCTGCCATTTCTGTCTGCTATTGTTGAATTTGGAAAGCAGATGGAAGAGAAAAAATAAAAAAGGAAAAGTGAGTTTGAGTTTTCTTTCTTCTATTATGAGAATGCTATATCCTGCATTGAAAACCAAGCTAAAATGTATTGAGTTGCCAACTAATTTATTTTTATCACTGTAGAGCCTATATATAAATGTTACTCTTCCTTTGAAATAACTTTGAATAGAAAAATAGCATCACCAAATGTTCTCCAGAATACCAGAGTCAACATACTTCTTTCTCAAAGCTGATCTTCCTGAATGTTTGAGTAATGTTGCTGCCTCTGAGATTTTTCTCATGATTACATGAATTTACTAGGAAAAACATTATAAATGAACTCAAATTCTCAAAAGGGAGGGAATAATCTACAACTCAGGAGTAGGATTCTGAATATTTTTTGTCCTTGTAGAAAACATTTCAGTTTCTAATCCTGTCGGTCCATCTTTCACATCAATCTTCTTTAATTTGTTGAAATTACCTGTCTGATTTAAAGTTTGTCTAGTTCATATTGTTTACAGAAGTCACACTTGAGGAGCACACCCTGCGTCCTTACCACATGACTAATGTAAGCACAGCAACAATCAGCTTTCAGGGAACACCAGTTGACAGTCCAGCTACTATTAGTTTAAGTATCATTTAACACGAACTGGAGATTACTGAGACCCCCTTAAGGTGTGATTACACTTACACTTTACACTTAGGATGCGATTAACCAACCAGGTAATTGTACCTACCTTAAGTTGTAGGTACAATTCGTAGCTACACCTTTAACCAATTAATGGCTTGATAAAATAAGCAATAAAGTACAAAGTTATTCCCCCCAAAATGTGTAAAACTTTGTAGCTTGTTCTAATTTAACAATCTCTGATGAATTGAATATGTGGCCAAGTGCTGCCCTGTGCCTGGGAGCCCCTCAGTTCGATGAGGCCCAAGAGAGCACTACAAGCTGGCAGCCTGTGTTGTCAGCTGTGGGGTTTGCAGCAGATAAAATGCTGTCCCCTCTGTGAGCCTTCTTGGTGTGGGGCTCTCAGTGGGAGCAGCAGGAAAAACACTGCTGCTGCAAGCTTTGTGAAGTGCGGGGCTCTCAGTGGCAGCAGTGTTCCCTGTGGTGCACTTGCTCTGAGTTGTGCAGCCCACCTTTGCTGCAGGGCTTGCACTGGCAGCAGTGAGAAGAGTGAGGGAACACTGCCTCAGCTGTGTTCCCCTCACCTCTGGAGGTTTGCAGCAGTGGCAGTGTCCCTCTGCGTTGCCACGATTGCAAGCCCTGCAGCCCATGTCACTGTGGGACTCGCAGCAGTGCAGGAGAAGTCTGCCACCGCTGTGAGTCCCACATCTCGGGAGGCTTATAGCTGTGGCAGCATTCTTCTCTCTGCCAGTTCTGTAAGCCCCACAGCCATGTGGGCTGCAGGGCTCACAGTGAGGACCGGCTTCTCCTGCATGGCAGGAGATGCACTTGTGGGACTGTGCATTGGATCCCATCATGCCTTGTCATCAGTGCAGGGGAAGCCTGGGATCACAATCCCTGGCTTTCCCTGCTCTGGCTCCTGCAGCTGTGAGCCTTGCAGTTTATGCAGCTTAGTGGGGCTTGCAGTGTTCCATGCACTGCCCTGTCTGCATGCGAATCCTGCACCCGCTGCAAGCACTGCTGGCAGTAGGACTCACAGTGGGGGCAGCCTGGGTTTGTAATCCCAGGCTGCCCCAGTACTGGCAATAAAACGTCATGGGATCTAATGCACAATCCCACAATTGCATCTCCTGCCATGCACAAAGTGATTCTTTGTTTTAAGGGTCTTCAAAGGGATTTGAACTCAGATTAATCAACAGAGCAAGTCTCTACTTTGGGTGCCATGTGGCCTAGCTTACATTTTTCTTACATTAGCTTACATTTTCAAGTTCTAATAACGTTTTTATTCATGTTTTGTGTGTGATGAGAGTGTGATAAGGATTGTAAAGTTCTTAGTGTTTAATAATCTATTTGATACTGGAATGATGTTATGTAGAGGAAACTGGAAGGAAGTATAAAACATTAAAATCTTTTTTGGTGGATTAGGTCAATATATAGGGTCAAGAGATAGTTAACTGAGATTCTCTGATTACTCCACTAGTAGTACTTCATGAACTTTATTGGTGGAGGGGCACAAAGTCTCTTATGGGAGGGTTTGCTGGACAGTTATGTAGGTGTCCATATGCTCATTCAAGGAAACTTTGCTGTGCTTTCTTGATCCAGTATTTCCTTTGGACATCTAGTCCTTTGTTTCTCCTTTAGTGCTCTTGTAAAAAATATGATATTCCCCATAAATTTAGTTTTTACACCATTTATCATGATACGGTTTCCATTTTGGCATTTTTCACTTTTCCCTTCTTAGTTTTGGATGCTGTTTTACAAATTGCTATGTTCCAGTGGTGCTAAGCCTGATGAAGAAGCAGATGTATCATGATTTCATTTTCTGTAAATGGAAAACTGCTTTTCTAAGGTTCATCATGCAGACCTACTGAAGTTAGGCTTTCTCTTAAGGATTCTGTTTGGAAAAAGAGGAGATGGTAGAATGGTTGTAGATATTTCACACCTTAATATCAAAGGGAAAAATCATGTTCTGCTTAATGTCTCAAAATACTCTGTTTGTCCTAGACTTTTTATTTTTTGCATTTTACTTAGGTTTGCATTGGCTTATTAAGTAACATTTGTGCAGGTCACAAACGGACAGCATTTGCAACCACATTGTCCAGTGTTGCAGCAAAAGGAACATCTTGTTTGCTTTTGAGCCTTGTTAAGAAAGAGAAAAAAATCCTCTTTCACAGTTTTTTGCTGGATTAGGTTG